TTGAAATATTCATCAGTGTTTTTAGTTTAAGCATAAAAGAGATAATAAACATAAATTCATTCCTTTATTAAAATAGCATTTCAAATTACACTATAATAGCTCCGAATCGTAAAACTGCATTGCAGTAGTATTTATTTCCTTGATTTTAAAATACCCATTTATATATCCCTTATTAAATAAGCAAAAAAGATGTTTTCTGAATATGATAACAGCCTAATTTTATAAAATATTTCCCTTTAAATTTTGTTAAGTCAATAATAGTATTCATAGGAATATTTTTTTCTTTAAAATATATAAAGGTACATAACACGTCATTAGAATTTTTGAAATTTGTATCTTACTCTTTATTAATCGCCTTTTTTTTTTCCATTTTGCAAAAATAGCATTGCTAACAAGTTATTGCTTTAATTAACTACAAATTTTTAGCCAAATATCATGGAAATCAATAACGTTATTTATTCCCTTACTCCAACATTTTATAGCAAAATTATATATATAGAAAAGTAATTTTTTTTTCAATTTTATTATTTTTTTTACGTATGTTTATTGAAATGAAGGCAACTTAAGTATTATGGAGAACTAATTTATGCTCTGAAAGATAATTTCGAATGCACCGTTTTATTTAAAAATAAAAGTTTAAATTTTGAAAGTTAGATATAATTTAGGATATTCTCAGGAACGAAGGATCAAAATTTTTTTCTTATCAAAAAGTTTGCTTGAGAATTTAAATTGAGTAAAAAATTAAGTAACAATGTGAAAGATATTTTCTTAGAGCCGTTTTGAAATAAATAAATTTCATGTATTTTGGTTTTACTTGGAGTTTAATTTAAAATAGACTTGTCAAAACCCTCAGATGGCTGCTCGCAGTAATTTGATGGGTCACATACATAATAGGGTAAATATTATATTTTCGGCTTTAAATTGCATTTAAGCTGAGCAACCCAAAACTAATGTTAAAAAATATAGGTTTTTTTTAAAAATGTGCATGCTTTATTTTTTATTCAATTTAAAAACAGACTTTTTTTTTGTCAATCAAAAAAAGTTGGCTCGTTTTTTCAAAAACTGCATCGCGTGAGGAATTGCTTAATATAGTAGAATGAAATTATAAAGTAACATTCATAACTATAGACTACTTGAAATAAGTCCTATGGTACTTTCCCACAGAAATTTAAACTCTTAACTTTCTAAATTCGTCGAAACTAGGTTGAATGCAATGTGTAATGATGATTGAAAGAGGAATTCCTTTCCATTTTAATAATTAATCTTTTAAATTTTAAAAAATTTAATACATTCTTATAAATTGAATAACATTTAATATAACTATTAAAATTTAAAAATCCATTTTTATGTCATTTATTTCTCTAACAATATTATTAAATATTTTTTTTAAAAATGAGTAATTTTTTTTCAGCATTTATATCAGCGATATCCTTTAAATTGAATAACTAGTTAAAAGGTCGTTATATTTGTGGTTTTTACAATGGAATAATAAAAATAATTGTTACATGACCCTGAAAATACAGAATAAAGTGTTTTTAAAACTAGTTTTACTATAACAACCTTTAATTGCCCCCTCCCCTCTAGAAAAATTCTTTGTCCTTCAAGTTCTTCGACCGCTAGGTATTTAGAAAAACTGTTTGAATTTCACAACCAATGTAACATTCTTGATTCTTGTAAATGCTAATTAAATCTTTAAAAGTTATTTTATGCTATAATACTTTTTCATTTCAAAAAAGTAAAATTTGAGGTATTTTGTAATTCATACACTGCGAACAATATGCATATGAATTTTATATAGTACAAACTGTAATTTTAAATTGCACATGTGAACAAACAATGTGTACCAAATGTTACTTACGTAATGCAACTGCAAACAATACAAAGAGTTTCGCACTTTTTTCTAAAAGCTCTTAATTGAAGTCCATAACAATTATTTTATTGAAGTCCATATCAGTTATTTAATTGGTCTGAAAATAGTTATATTTTAATAACATTTAAAAAAATATGAACAATAATTTAATAAATATGAATAATATTTATTTTAATAAATTTTAATATTTTAATAAATATTATATTTTAACTATATTCTACTTATGTAAAATTGCAATTCCTTTGAAACATCTTCGTATATTTCATTTAATTTATATAATATATTGTTAAGCAATAGTTTTTTCTTCTAAAAACGTGGGTTCGATAGCATTTAAGGAAAATGAAATAATTGTTCAATATGTTTAAGTATCATAAAAAAGAGCGGTGCGAACTAAGATGTAAATATTTATCATGACCATACGTAACATTTTTAAGAAGAATTAAAACGAAATCTAAAAGAAAACAATAAAACCGGTGCTGTTTTTATAATCAAAACAAGCGGTACTACTGATGGTTTATTTTTGTCTTAACATTCCATACCAAGTGATAAAATGAAGTTCATTTATTATTATAATCTATAAAATTAAAATTGAATATAAAAAGTATCAAAACCTCTTAACGACACCAGCTTTACTTATCTAGAGAAATCTAAGTGTATTTTTATGTTTCAAACAATGCATTTACGATGCAAAATAAATTATAATATTTCGTGATGAGCTGTCAAGAAAAAAGGATTTTTATTGGTCTGATTGTTTACATTCTTTCACTGATTTGAAAGTTGCGGATATCATAAGAGTGAATTAAGTTTTATGACCTAATAATTCTATCAGATCAGGCTCTAAACAAAAAGAAATGAGAAGATGAAATATAAAAAAAAAATGGCTACTTGATACAATTGGGTTTTGTGTTCAACAGTAATATTAACATTCCTTTAAATGCATTACTGCCGGATATAAAGCATGCATTAAGTCTAGATTAGGTTCGGATAACTTTGAGTGTTTTTAATGCTTAAGATTAGATCCGTGAGTAAAGGATTATAATAGTTTCATAAAATTTCTAAATTTGTTAAAATGAGGTAAACAAGTTTCTCTCTTTTTTTTTCTTCCTATTTTTCTTTTCCTTCCAATTTCAATTGAATGGCTTGTTGTCACATGCGTCTAGTTCTGTATTTTATCAATTCAAGGACATATTTAACAAAGCAAAAGATAGGCATTGTAATATTCTAGAGGCCCGCCTAAGATAGAAAGCAATAATTGATTTGTGCTATTAATTAACTTTTAAAAAAAAGAAACAACTTAAAAACTCTTTAAAAATGCTTAAAAGTTTAAGTTTAAAAACAGTATGATAAGTGTAAAATAATTTTTTTCTTTTGCTAAGTCTGTAAGTCAGTTTTTAATATTATTACTAAAACTTTAATTTCTCTAAAATGTTCCACCTCCCACCTTGCGCCTCTAAACTCTTCAATTAAAATTTAGATAATTTCCTTCTAAATAACAATTACTTTAATGTACAGAAAAAAGATTAACAATAAAAGATTTAAAACTTAATACATCATATTAAACTAGGCTACAACACTGAAATCTAAAATTTAAAATAAATCAATTTACTAGAATCAATTTATTGTATCGTTCCTGTGAGATAACTATATATTTATAAAAACTTTTTTTTACGGTTAAAGAAATGGCATTTTTTAAATTGTTATTTCTTAGGCTATATTTTCCAGATTTAGGAAAGAATACTTTTTTTCAAATATAATTTTCAAATTCTGATTTCATTCGTTTCGGAATTTGTTACTCAAAGACTCAGTGAACATTGGATAACAGGTCTGAAGTATATTAACAATCATAATTAAATAAAGTTTATTTAATTATCTCAAGTGTTACCCCAAAAATGAAATAAAATTAAATTAAAAATTAATTATAAATCTTGATCATTTTCTTTGAATGAAGAAAAAAGTAACTTTTACTTGGAATTGTTGTAACGACCACAAGTATAAACAAACAAATAGTTTTATCGTTATCATTTAATTGTCTACCCGAAACTCAAATTTATTTTGATTTCAGAATTTATTCTATAAATTTTTTCAGGAATTTTCTTTAAAAAGTGCACTGTTGTAAATAATAATAATTAACAAAATGAATAAGCATAACAAATGTGTTTTTATTAACTATACAATTCATCAATTTGCTTTGAAAACTTTTGCTGTTATTTTAATGACTACTAAAGTAGCATTCCCTTGAATATTTTCTTTTGGTTATATATTACCATTCTATACTTATGGCATTAAATATTAGGAAAATGTTATGCGCTATAATATGAAGTGAATCGGATCTTAAGAAGCAATTCCTCTCCTGACCGAACTCATCTGTCGGAAGGGGTGGAGACAGGAAGGGGTAAAATTCTAAATGCGTTTTTATTTCTCTTTACTTAATTTTCACAAATAAACTGATGATGGAAATTTACTCTATTTGGCTGTATCTTTCAATGCATGTAAAGTATAAGGCCGACACCCACTCATAATTTGAGATAAAAAGCATGCCGTGTATTTTAGATTCTCTATTAATTTATTACAGCAAAATTATGGCAATTCTGCAATCAACAGATTTTGATACGCAGTTGAATAGTTATTAGTCGTCTGCTTTTAGATTTTTGATAAGTATCTTTCATTTTGAGCAATTAACTTTAAAAGAATTTTTTAACCTCATCCAGATCTATTCTCTTGCGTTTAAACTATAATAAAATTAAGATATTTAATAATCCAAAAACTGAGAAGCATGTAGCTTTAAACCGCATAATTTTATAGCTTCAAAGTTTTGATCTTTCTTCTTTACCATAAACCGCACAATTTTATAGCTTCAAAGTTTTGAGGAAAAACTTATAGAAGTTGTGACAATTATTAAACCCTATTTCTTCTAATCTAATAAATAACTTTCTTTATTTTCTACTTTTTTTAAATGAATTTTGCAATCTAATAATACTATATCATCAAAACTTTGTTAAATACAAAAAAATACCAAGAAAACAAAATTTAAATTTTTACCTCTAATACAAGATGGCGAGGGTAGAGGCCTCTTAACAAGCTGTGTTTTTATTTTATAATTTACTATAATTTATTTATTTTATCTTTTCAGACAACAGTGGACGAAAGCAATATATTTGGTTCAGAGCATAATAGTGTGATAAGAAAAGGTAAACCTGTTTTATTTTTAAACTGAATTCCTTAACTTATAAATAAATCACTTATTCAAGAAGTATTTTTTAACAATTTGTTTAGTAGTTGATAGTAAAAAGGAAAAAAAAAAGATGAATATATAAATATA